GAATTCTCACTTAGATCGAACTAATTGGATTTGAATCGGACCAAGATTGAAGCTAAAATTGAACGTAATTACATGGTTAAATCTCAACAGCCACTGCTTTACATGGATTTCTATTGAGGCCACCTTTGCGATAACTTGCGCCGCAGTATGCCCTGCTTCCATGGTAGATGAGGCAATAGATCCTTGATCTGGGATTTGATGACGGTGTCGATTGCTTTGGCCAGAGAATTCTTAAGCAGAAGACCAGCCAATTGGCGGGACTCGACAGGCTTATCGTCGTTGGCGAGTGCAAAGGAGAGTGATAGAAGAAAGTGAGGCAAGTGGTGGTCTTGGAACTGTATGAGGCTTCCTTCAGCTCCATTACGGACTCGTGCATCATCTGACTGAGCAGCCACAAGGAATTGAGTGATCTCCATTGCCATTATCCTGTCGTCAGCAGCACAAAATCCCGAAGAAGCAATAGATTAGAGGGAGAAGGTGTAACATCAAAAGCTAAATAAGAGAGAAATCAATCAATCTCTCGATATATAAACACAAGAATGGTAATTACCCTTAGAGAACGCTACAAAAGAATACAAATCGGATGGGGAGTTACTCGGTTTTGGTTCCGAGAAGGCTCTTACTCTCCATGAGAGAAGAAATTATAGGACGGGTCTCTTCCCGAATGAGAAAGAGTATGTATGAGATCTTTCCAAAAAGGAGGAAATTACAAGGTTTGACAACCAGAAAACTTTCTTTTAAACTCTTAAAAGCCCAACCAAAAAAGGTAATTTGGTATTCGGTTAATTACCAGTATTACCAGTATTAACCCTTATAAAAAAGATAATAATTATTTTATTTTATAAACGCACTTTAATTATCAATTAAACAAAGTTGGTGTCTTAAGTAAATCAAGTAGAGCAAAGCGGTTTGTATTGGGAATGAAAACAACATGATGTGCGGTTTTGCATCCTCTCGTCGTCTGGTCTATGTACAATCATTTTATGGTGGCTTTATGCTCCTTCGAGGCATCTAGAGTTATTTAACGATGTTGTCGTAAAGATAAATTCGTTGTCGTTACGTAATTATATCACTTGATATATACGATTATATATTGTTATTTTGTTTATAGAAGTCCACTTTGTATGATTACGTTTTTCTCAATTTATTTGTCTAGATTATATATTTCTTCCATAGTTATGTTTCTTAATATAAGATGTTTTGG